AGAAGGTGAATTGATTCTAACATAGTCCCAGTTGGAGCAATTGTGTGTTTTTTAGCTTAATTAATTGCATAGACGATGAGAAAGTTTTCGTATTAATTAACGTTAAACGTATGTCCATGGCGGACTATTGCATATGCAACATTGAGGCGTAGATATAGCTTGTTGAACTTCTTGGCAATTTGATTAATACTGCTTAAATGATGTGACTGCAGCTCCAGACAAAAAATTGGTTTTGCATGAAGATTCTAAAGATGCATCCTCCCATAAAAAAGAGGGTCACAAGATGACAAGTCCCTGGTTGTTTGCTTTGGGGAAATGCTAATTGACTTTGTGCCCACCGTTGGTGGAGCTTCACTTGCTGAAGCACCTGTTTTTAAGAAAGCTCCTGGTGGTGCTCCTGTTAATGTCGCTGTTGGAGTCGCAAGACTGGGTGGTTCAACAGGTTTTATAGGCAAGGTACATTAGATTCTGTGGATGCTGGTATTAATTTCTCCCTTGGCTTTTGCCTTTCTGCCTGGGATTTCTGTTAAGAAGAAGGATTTCTCTAGTAACATTTTGTTCCACACATGTAAGAATAATGAAACATAGAAAGACGCTTTCAACCTGTTTACTGAAACCCCTCAACGGTTCAACTCTATATTGACTTTGTTGAGCATGGCATGATTCAAATATGCATCTTTCTCATATTGTGTATATAGCCCATTTCACAATCTCCAGACATGTATCCAAACGATCTTTTCTCTCATATCCCCTCGACACCGTTACAAGATGTGATGTAAGTTCCTTTTACTTTAGCATCAAGTTCGTTAAGGAACTTTTAATTTATGTATTGAGGTAAAAGTAATTTGTATGTTTATTTTTCTTCTCATGCAGAAAACCAACTCATCTACCTTCGCCTTTTGGTCAAAGAGCTCTGTTGATATTGAGCCAAGGCGTATTAGATTGCAGTCAAATAGTAACACTGCCAACACCCTTTTGGATACAGTGACTGCTGCAACTGTACAGGTTGGAAATTACTAAGATGTATAAACATTGATACTTGTTTTGAGATGTATATGATGCTTTGGTTCTATGTGAAAATTACTGGAGGTGGGCTGGATTAATCATTTCGTGTTTCAGTTATATATGTGTTCATTTTGAGCAGGGTAGTAAACTACAGAGATTGACTTATGTGCCTGAACTTTTAGACTCAGGCCTGTATTTCACATTGATCAAATAGGCATGAGTAGTGTACTTACATGAGGGGTAGTGTTTTGTTGTGAAGTAACGCCAGCTGATTTCTCTGTGCAAAAGTGCATGAATATCAAACGTATTCATTCAATGCATAATCTCTATTGAACTCTATCATTCATTTTGCGAACTCATTGAAATTTGTTGTCAACACCTATTTGGCCTTCTTTCTTATTTCGTTACTGCTGTTATTAGGTCCCTGATGAGGTAGTTACAAAATGCACGGCTTGTGGGTCAGATTTTGGGGCTTTATAGATCTCAGGGAGGCAGTATAGATCTCCAAAGAACTAAGAATGGTGTAAAACAGGTTCCCAATTCTAGTTACTAGGTTTCCAAATTATCTCCCCAGGTATGAATTTGATTTTGTTTAACTTGTCTCGATGTCTGCAACTGGAGAAATAGAATTAACAAATCCTGAGGCGAAAGTTCATCACATGGTGCTTGGTTCTTATTGTTGGAAATTTTGGGTAACTATTGTCAGAGTGGAGAATATATCTTTGTACCGCCCTACAAGTGAATTTCGTGTCCTGGAGGATGCTATATCTAATACAATTGCTTGGTCATCTAAGTACGTCGGAGTTGGAGAGTAATTTTAGTTCGTACTTAGACTAGAAAATGGTACTTTGGCACTACATGGATAGTACTTTATGAATTCTGTTGTTTATGTATTCATTAGGAACTACATGGATAGTACTTTATGATTTCCGTTGTTTATGTATTTATTTGGAAACTCAAGTATTTTTAAATTCTGTTATAATATTATCAAGTATTTTTTAGATAGTTATTATATTGTAGTAAATATGCAATTTTGTTGGTTATTCTGTACTAAATATATATATATATATATTTGTTAAATAGTTTTATTTTTTTTTAATTCTGGAAAATAATTTATAACGGGCACTAGCTGTGGTCAATTAGTAATTGACAACGGCCATAGCACGTGGTGTTAGATCTCAATCTACAACGGGTACAATCCGTGGTTATATTGCATTTGACAACGGGCATTGCCCGTGGTAGAACCTGAGACTTTTTATCACATCCAGAATACTAACGGGCATAGTGTCCGTGGTGGATTGCAATTTATCACGGGCTTTCACCGTGATAGATGAGCTTTTTTCTTCTAGTGAAATTAAAAAGTTATAATTACCGCTGTGATGACGCTCGATCTCAAACTCCACAACCATTCAAATTCAATGGAAATTGAAATTTAAGCTCCAAATGAGAAGTGACTTGCCCCAAAGGAGAGGAGCACTCCTCTTGCCCTTCCTCCACCACCACAACTTTGCCGTGCTCCTCCTGATCCTTCGTGCTTTCGGCAGTGGTGGTCGGTGCAGAAACCGAGAAGAGAGATGAAACGAAATAGAGAAATGGGGACGGAGAGAGACGATGGGGGAGAAATGGGGTAGGGGTTTAAAAGTCTTTTTATAAAAATTATAAACATGTTATTAATACTTCTGAGATATGAGTGGAAAAATAGGATAATGGGATGGGTTTATCAGCATTCAAAATTTATTCAAAATTCAAATTCTTATTGTTAAAAAAATTCAACAACAAAACAAAAACAATTTATACATAACTTTCGGTACCATATTTTATTCATAGGTACGAAAGTATCGGTACATAAGTTTCAATACGAATGTATCGATACATAAGTTTCGATACGAATGTATCAATACATAACTTTAGTTACCTTATTTTACTCATAGATACATAAATATTGGTTTATAAGTTTCAATACTAATGTATCAGTACATAACTTTCGGTACGAATGTATCAGTACAAATGTGTCGGTACAAATGTACTCGGTATGTAACTATGCAGCTTCTTGAGTGGCGTTCGATGTGGCAAGGTGCATAATAGCCTCAGCTACCTGCTCGGGCAAGGTTGGCGATAATGAGCTGTGACAATACAAAAGTTCAAACAGCGGTACCTTCTCTAATCATTTGCAGGCCATTTTGTGGTAAGTTGGAGAGGTGAAGAAGAGCTTTGACTCCAACTTTCCCCTTTTCAATATCACCTTCTGAAAGGAGTTCAAGAAGCTGTCCTAGTGCCCCGTCTTTTACAATGGACAGTTTGTTGTGGTCTGTCAATTCAATTTCCGACAAAGTTCTAGCCATAAGAATTTTGACTCTTCCGGTCCTGCATCAAATTTGGTCTCCTCCTTGGTTTCATTGGATTAAGCTTACCACATGATGATATGGTTAAAAAAAAAAATCCTGGTCCTACTACTTGTGGAGGAGTTTCAGTAATTGTCATGATCGACTTCTTGGTGATTTATGTCTAGGTATTGATTATCACAATTCTTTTTTTCCGGAGTTATTTGTTGTTATTATTGGTAAATTATTTGCACATATATTTATAACAAAATGTGTTCAATATATGTAATCATCATGCATAATAACAGATCACTTATGTGTCTAGAAATAAAAGTGGCAAGAGCCCGTCTCTAAAAGAGATCAAAATATTTTATTTGGATGTAAAATATAAATGTATCCCTCATGAGGTTTGGCTTTCCCTGGATTCTTGTGCTCTACTTAGTACGTATAAGAATAATATTTGTATCTGAAAATGCCCCATAAACTTATACATTTTTTGGGTCAAATTGTAGAGATCGTTCATAAAACAAAGTCTAAAGTGGACAAATTACAAACTACGAAGCCCTAGAAAGGACCGGTATACAAGAAGCCGCCACTTATATAAATAAAGCATGTATTATTAGGTCCTAGAATGGCTAAGATTATAATTTTAATTCGATACATATATATTAATCATGTATCAAAAAATCACCCAGTTTCATATGCTTATATTTCTAGGTCTCATAAAAGCTTAACTATATTCTAAAAAAGTTATTTAATCAAAGAAAATGATCGTTTGATAATCATTTCGTTTCTATTTTTTTTTTCAAAACTCATTTAGAAACTGTTTTTGGTTTTTAAAAATTGAAAGATATTTTGATGAATTTTCAAAATATGGCTTGATACTGCTGGTAATTAAATATCATACATATACATTTACCTAATTCTGCAAAATATTGCTGGTAATTAATTAAGCTTGATCAGTATTAGCACCTGTGTGTGTTTACTGCAAATTGACGTTAGAAAGAAACTAGTATAATGCATATCCTACAACTCTTTACAATATGGTGAAATTAAACTGAGATAATCCGGAAAATTAAGCAGAGGTGTGTGTTTTTTGAAACCAATTAATGTAAAATTAAATGTGGTTATATTTAAAATAAAAACAATTATCATTAAGTAAAGCCAGTACTTTTGAAACCAATGGTATATGGAGCCAAATTCATTACCGTATGCCATACGCTGATATGCAGAACCTATTTATTTGAAATTAATGAAGGTAGAAGGCTGGCCGTACTGGAGTAGCTACTTGAAGTTGATGGAGATCTGTAACTTATGGATGAAGGCTGTCGTATTTACACCACGAAGTGCTTTATGGAAGCCATTTTCTCTCATTTGAGAGATCTGCTCAATATCCACATTTCCAGAAAACCAGACGTGTAAGTACGTAGATAACATATATAATTAGAGAATAAAAAAACTGAAACGAAAAGAAATATTGCTAAAGTACTGGAAAATTAGATAGATAGAGATATATGTGTGTGTGTGTGTGTGTAGAGAGAGAGAGAGAGAGAGAGTGAGAGAGAGAGAGAGAGAGAGAGAGAGAGTATGAAGCCCTAGTCATCGAACCTCAGTGATGGTGCGGCCCTTGCTTAATAAACTCAAACGACCACGCTAGGTAGGCAAATATATATATGCAAAGAAGCATACAAGAGTGATATTGGTTCGGCTCATCTCAAAGAGTACGTAGTACTAGTCTTTGTTGTGCATCATGACGATTTATGATCGAAGATAAGCTAATTATCAGAGATATGAGCCAAAACCAATATCACACCATGTTTGCTTTTGCAGAAACAAGTATTAAGGCTCGTACTCGTACACGCTTAAGCTCTTTTGATATACTGAATTGGAGCTTCCACCTCTATTTATAACAGCAAGTAGGAGCTTAGCTTAGCTTGCCAGTCGTCTTGATTAGTTAGGTAATCTACAGATGGTTCCTGTAAGGGAGCACACAGTAGGATAAGGAAGGAACATTTTTCATAAACATATCTTTAGGAATCCCACTAACACTATAATCCCTTTCATCCCCTCTCTCATCAACTTTTTTAATTAATAAAACCCCATCAGCAGTAGCATAACATAATGGAGGCACGTGATTAATCAAGATCACCAATATTGCATGCCAGGGCATCAATGTCGTTCGACTTGGACGTCATTGTGGTGGAGTAAGTATACGAAACACAGAGTCACAGACACGTGGCATTAATTATAATATTTCACTCAAATTAATGTTGGTATATATGCCATGGGTCCAGCCCCGATTAAAGATGGTTTGAAATCTCTATAAGTCTATAGAGAGCTAATGATGCATTGAAGAATACTACATTCAAAGGAATGTAATGGTTGGTTCATATAATCAAACATGGGAACTCTATGTGGTGCATGAATTATATATGGAGTTCCAAGACTACTGCATTGGATGGTGCATGAATGTTGATAATGGTGGAATTAATTCTTGGACTCACTAGGATGTTCCATCCATGCATGTAAAAGAGGTGACATTCACCATTGTGGATCATCCAAAAGCAAGCATACCACCCCAAGAGAGAGAGTGAGAGAGTTCTAAGAGTTGTTCCACTCCAAGGTTGAGAATGAGTGTTTCACCACAAATTGTGTAAGTAAGATTTAGAATGTTATACTTTATTGTATTCATCAAGCCTTATCTTTGGCTTGGTAATATTGTTCTTACTGTACCCATTATTTTGATATAGTGGAAGATTGATTGATGCCTTGTGGACAAAAGTAGAAAATGTTGCAACATATAAATCCTTGGGGTCTATCTTTTTACCTTACTTTGTGTTTTTCTCTATCCTATAGTACCGTTGATGCTAACAATTATAACACATAAATTTATTTATTCGTTGATATATACTTTAAAAGTACGACATATTAATCATTTCCATCTACCCTTATTATAACAACTAAAATTATACACCGCCTGACTTGTATTTTTGTTATCCATAAAAATTCCTCAGTGCACACACCACTCTTTCTTAATTATATACGGGAATTACAAATCTAAGCCATGAAATCTAAAAGCTAAAAGAAGAGAGAAAATATATAGTTTTTTACTTCTTCAAGAAAGGGAACAACTTTGGAGATCTCTTGCCATTCCTTTTCTTTCGCTACTTTTGAATTCAAATCCCTTCATTTGGGTCAAAAAGAGGACTTACTAGTTAATTAAACATACATGATGATAGTCCTTGAAACATACGAGAGGAAAGTCTTCCAACAGAATAAAGCTGAGAGACAGTGAGCACTTTTGCCCTAACTAGCTAATTTAGTAGGGTTTGTTTTTCTTACAAAATTAAGATGGAACCGGATCCCTTCTGGACGCAAAGGAACTGAGTCATCAAATGATCCAGACCATTGAAATTTGATACACCGGCTACAATTATTATAACTTTTAGAGGGGACCTCATATTTGTAATCGTTAGATCAAATTTCAATGGCTCAGATCATTTGATCCTTGAGCTCAGTTCCTTTAGGTCCGGAGGGGATCCGGTTCCAATTAAGATCATAGTTTAAGCAGCGCCGCCAAGTCACTATACAGTTCTAGATTTATTCATACGGTCCTAATATGTTTAAGATTACTTTGAAACAGTGGTCCTTAATTTTCATATCACATGTTTAATTGATAAACGAGATGGTTTTCGTACATTTTTTTTCTTTTTTTTTTAATTCAAAACTCTCTTTATTTTTTACATTGAGATTCAATAAAGCAAAGAAAAATTATGGGAAGAAATAGAAATAGGGATGTGCAAAAAGAAGAAAGTATGTGCATATAAAACATTTTCTTTGATTAATTATTTATTTTATAATGCATGCTATGACATGTATTTAGATTTTATGCATGATATTCATGTAGCTGTTTGGTCATCTATTATATTATGCAAAATCTAGTCCCAAAAAAGTCATTACAATTATATAAAGATAAAAGGAGTGGTCATGATATTTTTTTCCACATAGAGTTCTCTAATATCTGTCATGGTAATTTTACAGTTAAGATCATTATATATAGCATGAGCTTGAACTGATATTAGGGTTGCAGTAGTGACACAGTAGAGGTTATGGTTTAGGGATAATGAACGGTCATCTTTGGAAAGGACTTTTGGAATATCAGAAATTGTGAGAAAAATTTCTCGTTTATCTAACTTTTGGAAATCCTACAAGCTGGAACTTTGTTTTGCCGTATGATATGATCCGATAATTGATATTCGAATGAGAGAATATATTATGTATTATAGACATAAAATATTCCACCAATTCATCCATTTGATTTGAAGCCAGTGCTGAAGAATATATATGCTAGTTGAGTTAACTACTTCATTGCGCGTATATGGCACTTCTTGTAAGAGAATAAAATCTTCCATTGCATTGCATGCATGAACTAGTTCTTTTGGTTCAAGAAATTGATAGTAGATAATTGACTTGCAACAACACTATCCCAGCAGAATAATTTGCACCAAACCGCTGTAATCTGTGTAGCAATCCGAATATTATTCCTCCACCATCATTATCATCCATAATGCGTGTGTTTTCAAACCCTCAGGAAGAGGAGAATCTCTTGGGTGGTAACTTTCATGCCACATTATTCGTACGTTAAAAAAACAAACGAAGTGTCTCTTGCATTCGAGTTTATGGTAATTATCGAGATGGGCCCATGTGGGATCCGGCTGCATGGGTCTATCTTGTGTTTGTCTTTGGCAAACTAGCGACGTGACATAAAAAATCTCGGGTAATGTTAAGAAGGTTAAATTTATAGATAAAATTTTGTAAACTAAATAACATGGAAGTTGATGATTGAATTATTACTTAAACGTTGATAAACGTACTCATTTCCTATTGGTGATACATCATTTGGTTTGCATATTTTGTCTACAAATTTGGTCTCCCAAGCATTACCCAAAAAATCTCTAACAAAAATCTAAGAATGGGTCCATTTTAGAAGTGGCAAATTAACTCATTGGGTTGCTAATGTGTACCGTTAAGACCAGTTTAATTTGATATCACATTAATATCGATGTGAGATTTATAGTGGTGATAATGGTGTAAGATGAAATCAAACTAAATGGGTCTTAATGGGTACCCATTAACAACTCAATGGATTAATTTGCCACCTCTAGTCGATCCCCATTTTATTATAGTTAAATGATATATTTTTTTACTTATAAGTAAGATATCTTAAATTTAATATCTCTATATTGCAAGTTCACTAAATTATGGATGGCTCATAGTATGACTGACAAATCCCAACCCTAACATCGTTGTGGATGCAAATTTCTTTCTCCTTGATCTTGAACAAAATTGCACATACAAAACAATTAACACATTTGGTTAAGGCCAAGAGCCTCACGCTCCCACAATGAATTGAGAGGGGGGCTTTGGCTGAAGAACCTCTGATGCCAAAGTTAAAATTTAGAGAGAAAAGTGTTTAGAGAGTTTTTGGAGTTTTGCAAGAGTGTGGACTTAGATTTTTAGAGAAAATATGGTAGTTTATATAGAGCATGGCCGGTCCCTTTTGGAGAAAAGGTGGCCGGCCCTTTGGGATGTTTTTGAGTGTATTTTGTGGTTAATGGGTGATTTAATTGATAATTAATGAATTAATTAGGAATAAATCCATTAATTAGCCAATTAACTCAATTTATATGGAATGTTTTGAAGGTTATGGAAGTTACCTTGTAGAAGGGATTTGATGAGATAAGTTTTGAATTATTACCTATTTTGGGCATTTTTGATTTGGTTGAAGGATGATTGCGCGCTACTCGTGCGTAGGAATCCCGTTGTACCTCAAGGGTATTTTTGTCCTCTTTTGTCTAAAAAATCACGTGTCGCATTGTGATTATTTTTTACTACACAATCGTTTTATCAAGAAAAAAAAAGAAAAAGGATCGACTTCATGCCCCATCCTTTTGGGCTCTCATTCAAAACGCATCGCAATAACGGCCCGATGGGTCTATGCCCTTCCAGGATGCCCAACGGGTCCCCAAATCCAAGGCCAATGTTATTGGTCCAGCTTATATTCTTCGCTTTCAGCCTAATTTTTATTTCGGCCCAGGCCCGACATATTTGAGTCCGTAGCCGTTTCACAACCAAAAAATGAAAGAGAACAAATGGTGGTGCGTCTGTCCTCTCTCTCTCTCTCTCTCTCCCCTCTCCTCTGTAAAAAAAAAGAAATTTGAGATGCGGGTGTGGTTTTTGAGGTCTAGTGTTTGAGATCTCGGAGGGTGGAAAAACGACGCCGAATCATTACCCCATGGACGAAGCAACTCGCACGGTGTTTTACGAGACACGGCGTCACATTACGAGGCCCTACATTCCCAATTACCCTCCTCAACAGGTTCTTAATGTTCTTGAATTTCAACTTAATCAACCCCATGTTTTGCTTAATCACTCAATTAATCAAAGTTGTTAACTTTCTTTCGTTTCCGATTAATTCACGGAGTTCAGGCAAACAACGGCAGCAGAGGGAGCTTTCGATCACTGCTTTCCCTTCCAGGTTCAGTTTTTTTTCCTCTCAATATTTTTTGATTTATTTTTTTATGAATTATGGTGTTTGAGAGCGTGATCATGTCGCCGGAAGCCGAATTGGTTGACTTTGTGTTGCCTGTTGATCCATGAAGGTGTGAGCCAGCTCAGGGATAAATGGAGCGAGTACAAACAGCCAAGAAAATTGAAAGCTGGCATCTTTGTTTATCTCTCCGAGAGGCGAGCGTGTGGCTGTTGCTTCCGGAAATCAGATAACGATTTTGCAGAAGGAGGACGAATACTCAAAGCCATGCGGCACTTTTACAAGTAAGTTAAGTTGTATTTCATTGGTTTTGTTGTCCTTGCATTTGTGGAAGCATCAGCTTATGTAATCTTGGTGCATCATATTTTGAATGTTCTATACTAAAGTTACAGCCTTGAAGTTATCGCAGTCAGGCGGGCATTCTTGTTGTTTTTGAATGATATGTTTGGATTATAAACTTGTTTCCCTGCAAAGTTGAGGTCTTTACGAATAAACTTGATTACCTGCATTATATTTGGTTGCTATGCCCTTTTTCCAATGTATGGTCAGCTTATATATCTGAAATATTAATACCCAGTTAGTCGCGGTAGGCAAAAATGGTATTTCTTTAACGAACACTTACATGTACGTTCATTGGAGTTTCGTTGTAGACCATGAGACCTCTAACCATAGTAATCCACCGTATACAGTGAGTCCAAAATTGGCGCCAAAGAGAATTAATTAAGGAACATGTCTTTTCAGAAAATCATGGCGAGGAATTTGTAGGATTACCATATTAATACTGGCCAATGAGATTTGAAGTTGGAATACTTTTGTGGATACGCATATTGTGTTGATTCCTTTTGGTTCGTCATTGTGACATATGTGGGATATGTATGCTTTAGAAATTTGGATTTCTTCATTGTATCCAAATTTGAATGTTACATTAGTTCTGTTTTTTGATTAAGATAGTTTCTAATGAATCTAATATGTGCTCTATCCATCAGGTGGAAGCCTTACTTCATTTACAATAGGAACTTGGTCGGAAAGTCATGATGTTCTTGGAGTTGCTGATGACACCGATACACTATATTTTATCAAAGCAAACGGTGATGAAATAACAAGGATTGCAAGGAGGAATTTAAAAGTATCTTTACCAGTAATAAGCCTGATTGTGCAAGACGATTCTGACGTACAGAAATCTTGTCTGTAAGTGATTTCTTTTTCTTGCCCATAGCCCGTGAAAAAATGACGCATACAAGAACATGTCTTGATTACCTGGTTTGAGGTTTATGTGTTGAAGTTAATGAAATATTTTCAGGTGTAGCTTTATTGTGGTCACCTTTGATGGTTCCCTTCAGCATATTGAGATCAGTCAGGATCCAACTTCTTCTATATATTCTGCATGCACCTCACATAATGGGTTAACTGCAAAGGGGCAGCTCTCTTGCAATGTTTTCTGCGTTGACTACCACCCAGAGCTTTCTTTGCTTGCTGGTGTCATACTAACCTCAGGTTGCAACTCTGTCATGATTACTACTTCTACTTTCCATTTAGCTTATACATGTTTATACATGAAGATATTCATTTATACAGGCCCTTATGTGGTTAATATCATTTCTCGAATATGGCAAGTTTTACATTATTATCTTAAACAAATCTACCGCATTAGTTTTGCATGAATCTGGATGATCAAGTAACTTCTGTTGATGGCCTTATTTTTAATGGGAGCTCTTATGTTTTTGGAAGAATGGAAGAACACTCTAGATGTTGTTGTTGGTTGAATATTTGCATATCATGTTTTTTTTTTTTTTTTTTTTTTTGGTGCCAATTTTCAGAGTTGATTGCTAATTATTTCATATGCAAAAAAGATACTGACAGTTATCAATTAGTTTATAGAAAACAATTGAAAATGATGTAATATATGAGCTATATGACTTATTAATTAAATATTCTTTTTCTTCCAGGATCTTGTTATCTTTCTCTCTGGCATAGAAGTAGGATCGTTGATTTGGAGCAGCTTGTTACCATTCAGTTTGAGGGTTTTTATTCGAAACCAAAAGGAATTCAGCTAGTATATCCAAAGGTGCTAATCTCTCCACAGGCCAAATTTGTTGGTACTTTAGATGTCACGGGATGTTTGCACGTATTTAAGCTGGATAAAGAATGCCCTTCACTTTCCAATTTTATATGCAGAGAGAGATGCGAGTCAGAAGTGACCAATAATTTGTCAAGTGGAGAAGGGGAATATTTAAGTGACATTGTGGATTTTACTTGGTGGTCTGACCACATCCTTACTTTTGCTAAAAGGTGTGGCGTTGTTACCATGCTTGACATCCTTAGTGGCTTGAAAGTTCAGGAAAATGGAACTCTATATTCTAAGCCGGTTATAGACAGAATAAATCTGTTTCAAGGAAACCTGTTTCTTTTGGAGACTCTGTCATCTGAAGAGAGATCTGACTCAATGGAAACTAATGCTTCACATAGTATGGAGCATATTGTAGTGGACAGCCTTGACCAAATTTACATTTCTTCGTTGAACTGGAGCCTTGTATCATTTTCTGAAAGATCCATCGGGGAGATGTATAATATTTTGATTAGAAATGAAAAGTATCAAGCTGCCTTGGATTTTGCTGCTTGTCATGGGTTGGATAAAGATGAAGTTGTAAAGTCCCAGTGGTTGCAGTCAAGTCAAGGAACAAAGGAAATAAGTACCTTTTTATCAAAAATTAAGGACAAAACTTTTGTACTCTCCGAATGTGTTGACAAAGTTGGACCTACTGAAGATGCTGTGAGGGCCTTACTTGTATATGGGCTGAACCTAACTAACCAGTATGGGTTTTCTGAATCAGAAAATGATGAATGTAGCCAAATTTGGAATTTCCGTACGGCTAGACTTCAGTTATTACAATTCAGAGACCGGTTGGAGACCTTTCTTGGGATAAACATGGGCAGGTATCATAATCTTACGAAGCTATATTTTCATGTTAGCGAAGCATTAACCTACAGTTGAATGACATAGTTTTATGCAGGTTTTCTGTGCAGGAATATAGCAAATTTCGAGCTATGCCTATAAGTGAAGCGGCTGTTGCGCTTGCTGAAAGTGGGAAGATTGGGGCCTTAAATCTCCTGTTCAAGCGTCATCCTTATTCACTAGCTTCTTGCGTTTTGGAGATTTTAGCTGCTATCCCCGAAACAGTTCCTGTACAAACATATGGGCAACTTCTTCCAGGGATGTCTCCCACTACAAATGTTGCTGTGAGGGAAGAAGATTGGGTTGAATGCGAGAAAATGATAAGTTTTATACACAGATCACCCAAGGACTGTGAAATTGGTATGCAAATCCAGACCGAACCTCTACTGAAGCCGTGCTTAGGATCAGTTTGGCCATCAACTAGTGAACTTTCAATATGGTACAAGAAGAGAGCTAGAGATATTGATCGTTGTAGTGGACAGCTAGATAATTGCATTTGCTTGCTTGATTTTGCTAATCGAAAAGGTCTTTACGAGTTGCAGAGGTTCCATGAGGATGTCTCATACTTGCATCAACTTATTTATTCTGATGACAGTTGTCCAGAAATAAATTCCAGCTTGAGTCTTGTCATGTGGGAACAGTTCTCTGACTATGAGAAGTTCAGATTGATGCTTAAAGGAGTTAAAAAGGAAAATATGATTGCAAGACTACGTAATATGGCAGTTCCATTTGTGCAAGATAGATCACAGGATCAGGTGGCAGATGACCATCCCACAACAGAGCATAGCAAGGCTGAATCATTTCTGGTTAGATGGCTGAAGGAAACTGCTTCAGAGAACAAAGTGGACATCTGCTTGCAGATAATAGAGGAAGGGTGCAGCAATTTTCAGAGTAACAGCCTATTTGAGGATGAGGTTGAAGCAATAGACTCTGCTCTGCAGTGCATTTATTTGTGCACATCTACTGATACGTGGAGTACAATGGCAGCCATATTATCAAAGCTTCCACAAATGCAAGGTAATTGCTTCTTTGGTATTCTGGTTTGTGTGAGAGTCAGTGAGATATGTTTTTTGTTTTTGTTTATGAATGTTTACCTTTTATCTTTCTCACTGAACAGGTAGTGAAATATATATTGATGGACTTGAGAGAAGATTGAAATTGGCAGAAGGCCATATTGAAGTTGGGAGGCTCCTTGCATTTTATCAGGTCTGTATTCTTTCATGAAAGGGAAGTGTTTCTCTTGGTATTAGGGTATTGATGTATTGCATTTAATCAATTTTCAGGTGCCAAAGCCCCTGAACTATTTCCTAGAGTCTCATGAAGATCGAAAAGGTGTAAAGCAAATTCTTCGTCTTATCCTTTCAAAATTTATACGTCGACAGCCTGGTCGATCAGATACTGATTGGGCAAGCATGTGGCATGATATGCAATGCATTAGGGAAAAGGCATTTCCTTTTCTGGACCTGGAGTATATGTTGATGGAATTTTGCCGAGGACTGCTGAAAGCGGGGAAGTTTTCTCTTGCGAGGAATTATCTAAAGGGTACAAGTTCAGTTGCTTTAGCATCAGAGAAGGCTGAAAATCTTGTCATACAATCTGCAAGGGAGTATTTCTTTTCAGCTTCAAGTCTTTCTTCTCCTGAAGTAAGTATAAAGATGCTGATGTTTGCAGATGATTAATGATATTCAAGCACGCAATGATAGATTTAAACATTTTGATATGGTAGCACATCAATACTTACTATTGTATTAATTAATCAGTGTACAACTATTTTCAGATCTGGAAGGCTAAGGAATGCCTCAATTTATTTCCAAGCAGTGGAAATGGCAGAATAGAGTCTGATATTATTGAGGCACTTACGGTTACACTTCCCAGCCTTGGAGTGACTCTCTTACCCATGCAATTCAGGCAAATAAAAGATCCAATGGAGATAATCAAAATGGCAATCACACGCCAAAGTGGTGCATTTTTACATGTTGATGAACTCATTGAGATTGCAAAACTTCTTGGATTGAGCTCTCCAGATCACATATCTTCTGTTCAGGAAGCTATTGCCAGAGAAGCTGCGGTTGCTGGTGATCTCCAATTGGCCCTGGACCTATGTCTTGTTTTGGCTAAGAAAGGGCATGGTCACATTTGGGACTTATGTGCTGCAATAGCAAGGGGTCCTGCACTTGAAAACATGGATATGAATTCTCGAAAGCAGCTACTGGGTTTTGCTTTGAGCAATTGCGATGAGGAATCCGTGAGTGCGTTGCTCCGTGCATGGAAGGATCTTGATTTGCAAGGTCAATGCGAGACATTAATGATGTTGTCAGGGACAAAATGTCCAGATTTCTCAATTCAAGGCTCCTCGGTTATTACAGGTCCAGTCCATGACGATCAAGAAGTCTATCTTGATAACATAAAAACTGTACTTTCTGCTGTTGCTAAAAACTTGCCTGTTAACGGAACGAACTGGGAATCTGTTTTGAGAGAAAATGGAAATTTTTTGACATTTTCTGCCCTGCAACTTCCATGGCTGCTTGAGCTAAGTAGGAATAGAGAACACAGTAAGAAGTCAAGTGGTAACTTTATTCCTGGAAAGCAATATGTCAGTGTAAGAACACAGGCTCTAGTGACCATTCTGTCCTGGTTGGCGAGAAATGGTTTTGCTCCTACTGACAATGTGGTTGCGTCTCTGGCAAAATCAATAATTGAACCACCTGTTACCGAAGAGGAAGACATGGTGGGTTGCTCCTTTCTGTTGAATCTGTTGGATGCTGTGAGTGGGGTTGAAGTGATAGAGGAGCAGCTTAGAACAAGGAAGGATTACCAAGAAGTTTCTAGCATCATGAATGTGGGGATGACATATAGCTTGTTGTATAGTTCAGCATTCGAGTGTGAAGATCCTACGCAAAGGAGGGAGCTGCTACTAAGGAAGTTTAAAGAAAAACACACAGGTAATCTGCTACACTTATTTACAATTTGCTATGCTATCATCTTAAAGCTCCAAGCAGTGGAAATGTGAAAATAGAGTAATATTATTGATGCATGTACATTTTTACAATGACAAGGAGTTTATGGTTTCTTATGTTGTTTTATTGGATTCAGGTGAAATAGGCAAATTTGACAAGGTGCAGTCTAACTTTTGGAGGGAATGGAAATTAAAATTAGAAGATCAAAAGCGTGTTGCAGATCGTTGTAGAGCATTAGAGAAAATAATCCCTGGCGTTGACACAGTACGCTTTTTGTCTCAGGACTTTAATTATATTGAGAGTGTTGTGCTTCCCTTGATTGATTCAGTCAAGTTAGAGAAGAAGCACATTTTGAAGGATGTTTTAACATTAGCTCATGAATACGGCTTGAACCGTTCACAGGTAGGCAGCTTTGTACTTGGTAGGCTTACATCTCTGAATTCTATAACATAGAGATGACTTTTTCCCCCATTGAGTGCTAGTGATCTATTGTTTCCTTGCAGGTCTTTTTGTGTTATTTGAGTTCTGTCCTTATTTCTGAGGTTTGGACCAATGATGATATTACTTGTGAAATTTGGGAATTTAAAGGTGAAATAGTTGGCTATGCTGTGGAAACCATCAAAGCTGTTTCATCTATTGTATACCCTGCAATTGATGGATGCCATAAGGTGCGGCTTGCTTACATCTTTGGTCTGCTTTCTGGCTGCTACTTGCAACTGGAACAAAACAGAAAAGAATTACCAATTATACACCCTGATCAAGTGCATTTATCTGGTTTTAGGCTATCTCGTTTTTACAAGTTAATGGAACAAGAGTGCAGAAGAGTCTCCTTTATTGCGAACCTTAACTTCAAAAATATTGCTGGATTAGGTGGTTTGAACTTTAAGTGCTTAAGGCATGAAGTGTACATGCACGTATATGATAGTAGCTTGGAAGCCTTGGCAAAGATGGTAGAGGCACTTGCCAGTATATATCCCGACCCATTGTCGGAGGGTCTGATAACATGGCAGGATGTCTACAAACATTATATTTTGAGTTTGTTGGCAACTTTGGAAACCAAAGCTAGAACTGATTCGGTCACGAAAAGCACTGAAAACCTTCAAATCTTAGTATGTCAACTTGAGCAGAGCTATGAATGTTGCAGAGAGTATATTAGACTCTTGGCACATTTAGATTCTTTGAACATTATGAAGCGGTATTTGACAATAATCATACCGCTTTTGGGTTCTTATGGGACTCTACCAGATAACTCAGCATGGCAAGATTGTCTAATACTTATCTTGAACTTTTGGATAAGATTGGTTGAGGAGATGAAGGAAATTGCATCCCATGAGGATGTCGGAGAAAATCTCAGGCTCAATCTAGATTGCTTAGCGTGTTGTCTAAAGGTTTTCATGAGGCTGGTATTAGAAGACACTGTCTCACCAAGTCAAGGCTGGGCTACAATTGTCAGCTTTGTCAATCATGGTTTAATTTGTGACTCTCCTTCTGAACCTTATATGTTCTGTAGAGCTGTGATTTTTTCTGGTTGTGGGTTTGGATCTGTGGCTGAAGTATTTTCCCAAGCGGTTTTAGGGGGTCCAACGGGTTCCGCTTTGGCCGGAGACACTGAAATCCAGGAACTTCCCCTTCTCTACTTATATATTTTGGACAGCATTTTGCAGGATGTGGTTACCCATGGATCCCAGGAATATGAGAAATTATATCAGCTACTATCCTCATTGAGTAAATTAGAAGGTGATTTAGAAGATTTAGATAGGGTGAGGCAACTAGTTTGGAAAAGAATGGCTAAGTTCTCTGAAAACCTGCAGCTGCCGGGTTCAGTTCGGGTTTATACTATAGAGCTTATGCAATACCTCACAGGTAATAGTATCAAGGGTTTGTCTGCTAGTATACAATCTAATGTTACGCCGTGGGAAGGATGGGATGAGGTGTACCTTGCAAGTAAAAATAGTGAGACTGCTAATCAGGGGTCGGCAGATCATAATGATACATCTAACAGGTTTACAAGTACATTAGTTGCCCTCAAATCGACACAGCTTGTGGCAACCATATCACCCACCATGGAAGTTACCCCCGATGATCTCTCAAATCAAGAGACCGCTGTTTCTTGCTTTCTGAAGCTGTGTGATGCTGCACAAACATATTCTCATGTTGATTCTTTGCTAGCCATGTTAGGGGAGTGGGAAGGGTTTTTCTCAGTGAGGGAAGATAAGAAAGCCTCTATAGAAGCTCCTGAGGCTGGAAATGATTGGGATGATAACTGGGACGATTGCTGGGAGAGTTTTCAGGAGACAGAATCTCCTGTGAATGAGAAGGAAATATCCTTTTCCGTTCACCCTTTGCATGCATGTTGGTTGGAGATTTTCAAAAAACTCATAACGCTCTCCCAATTTAAAGATGTCGTCAGACTAATTGATCATTCCCTACCGAAATCAAATGGGATATTGCTTGATGAAGATGGGGTGAAGAGCTTGAGCCAGATCCTTCTTGAAAGAGATTGTTTCATGGCTTTAAAGCTGGTGCTTTTACTGCCTTTTGAATCACTACAGTTGCGGTGTTTGGCTGCCGTTGAAGACAAGTTGAAGCAAGAAGGCATCCCTGACTCGATTGGCGGTGACCATGAGTTATTATTGCTGGTATTATTCTCCGGGGTTTTACCCACTATCATCTCCAATTCTTCATACGGAAACACTTTCTCTTATATCTGCTATTTGGTCGGGAACATATCCCACAAGGTTCAAGCAGCTCAAGTGCAAAACGAGAGATGGCCGTTGCTTTTTAGAAGAATGCTCTTCCCCTGTTTTATATCAGAGCTTGTGAAAGCAGATCAGAAACTTCTAGCCGGACTCATGGTTACGAAATTTATGCACACAAATGCATCGCTTGGTCTTGTTAATGTTGCGGAGGCAAGTCTCAGTCGGTTTTTGGAGGTGCAGCTCCATGTACTACACGACCTGCTTGATGAGACACATTCACCGGAAACATTGAACAATACTGTTTCTAGTTTGAGAGGCAAGTTGGAAAATCTGATCCGGACCGCATTGTCATTGCTTCCAACTAAAGTCAGATGAACAGGTATGATGAACTCTTCCTACTTTCTGTCGTTAGGAGCCGGAGTTGTATGTATAGATGTTTGTTAGGCAGTGTTTGAAAATATAGCTCGGGATGTAAACTTGACACCGAAAGGAATACAGATGATGTACAGTCTCCGTACTGATCCTTGTCGGATCGGAGTGTATAAATTCGAATAAGACACGTATCTTACTATTTGTATAGTAGCACGTGGTGTACCACTCTGTGTACTGATCACATTGAAAAATTTCTCCTTCGTGAAAGAGGCGAGTGCTTCTGCGTGCGTTGTTTGGTGTTCAGATAGATGATGAGGAAGGTTTAATTCCAACCGCAGGATTTCATTAAAAATAATCCGACGGCTCCGCGTCTGATTCCTTAAAGAGCTTGTCTATGGATTTATCCTGAATGAATTTTATGGTGTGCAGAAAATGATATTTAGCTAATAGAAAGGATTATCGCCGGATCCTCTTTGTGAGGATTCCGGAGATCCTTTAATCACATATGTTCATCGTGCGGTTTGTTTTTGTTAGGTTCTGTTTATATTCAATTTTAAATAAAAAAATTACAATGAATTTTTACCATACGATCTACGATGAACGGATGTGATTGAAAAATTCTCATATCCTCACAAAGAGGATTGCATTTTACCTACCAGGAGGATCCTCGCTGGATCCTTTTTGTGAGAATCCCAGAGATCCTCCAATCACGTCTATTCATCGTACGGTTAGTTTTTGTTAGATATTGTTTATATTCAATTTTAAATAAAAAAATTTACAATGATTTCCGACCGCACAATGTACGATGAACAGATGTAATTGAAAGATTCTCGTATCCTTTCAAAGAGGATCCTCCTGGTAGCTAAAACGCAAAGGTGATAAAACAATATTGCATTTAGCTAATCGTATTCGTAGGTACACTTACACTTCAATGTTAATGAAGAAAAATATGAGAGCGGTTATTTGGATGCTTTAAAAGAATAACAACAATGGCATTAAAAGAAGAGATGATTTTCCTTTCCCCGAAATTTCGCAGTAAACTTTCAACCGGATCTTCTTCGTTACCCATCTTTGCCGGACAGACCACTGTTTTCCTCACACATTCTGCATCCTTAACGTTTCGAAATTGAATATACCCTTAGTTAACAGCAACTTTACTAGTATGTTGAACGGATTTGAACGGATGAGGTCGTTCTCTTCAACCTCTCAAAAGTCCCGTGTCTGTCAGCTCAGCATCGATTATATGTTTAACGGCTCTGCCTCGCTGTCCCTCTCCTTCATCGATGCCCGATCTTCACTCTCTGTTGACAGAATCAAATAGTTCCGACCATAAGAACGAAAAATATAAAGGAGGTTCGTCTAGGATTAGGCTATGGATGGAGCGAAAAAAATGACTTACTGGGCTTGTCTGAAATCGCCATGAGGCGCCTCTGCAAGAGACATGCTATGAAGAGGAAGAGCGAGCACATACCAAACATAACAGTCATTGGAAATGCATCAACCTGCAAAGACAAACGAAACCAACTGGTTGGTTACACAAGAGGTGGACTGAGAGCACACTTACATGACAACATGCTCCTAAGATATACTCCAATAAACGACCAAGAACTGTAACGTACATTATACAGCACAACGCAGACAAAAATGTTGAGGAATGCGGAAGAAGTTCATGATCGTGCTCCTGGCCTCCTCGGGGATGTACTGCGATCTCATCTTCATGATGGATGGCCAGAACAGTCCTACGCAAGCCTCAAAGGCACAGAATCCGAGAAGCTGGATGCAACCGGCAAAAGAGATGCTCCCTCCTTTCACATTGGAAGGTGCTACCAAGAACTGTTGGAAATTAGCAAAGTTAGGGGACGGCACGACAACATAGAATAAATAAGAAAACAATACACCGGAATCCCAACATACACCGGTCACAATGGGAAGCAGGAGAGAGGCAGCTGAGACGGCAAAGACAATCTGCATATAGCTCTCTACTCTAGGTGTTTGGCGAGCCATCAACCGGGATGCAAGGGAGCTTCCAAACATTGAAGACAACATGAAGGTGGCAAAAATAAAACCATGCGGAATGTCCTCGTCATTGGGGCTCAGAGCAGGAGTCCATAGGAACACAAAGGTATACATCGAACCTTCAAACAGAGACTGTATGGCACCCAGTAACGCGATTTTCTCATCTGAACCACGTAAAAAAGATAATAATAAATGAGAGAGAATATAACTTGTAGAACACAGGTGAAAAGACCATGAGGTTGTAAACGGAATGACAAGAATGGCTGGAGTTATGCAGGCGCACACACCACAGCTGACCATTAAACATACACAATTTATCGTCCAAAAATATCAGCTTAAGTTTATAGTATACCAGAAGCAATGGCAACAGCAGCACCCCGGAACTGGGTAAACAAGTCCTTGCTCTCTGAAGGATCTCCATAATTCTCTGTCCATGTGAATAAAATTACGAACATTCCAATTGTGAGAAAGCACGAAGCAGCATCGAAGGGCGCCACAGGCCCAAGAGCCAGTGCATCGACCAGCGTATTTCCAAGCAACCCAGCCAAGATAGCAACAACACCATTGCCAAGAAATATTGCCTTTGAGAATGTAATTGACAGCCATTGTTGTTCAAAACCTCTCTGCACGGTCAAGAGGAAGATCACATCTAAGATTTATTTATACAAGGGGTTAAAAGTTCGAAATCAATCAAATTTTCACAGTTCACGCCCCCAACCAAGGGAAACAGCGCCTAGTCAAACTCAATGCCTATGTGTAACAAATAATGAACTCCAAACAAAATACAAAGGCAACAATTTTGCGCCTCAAGCAAGCATTTTTTTTCTTCTGATATAAGCTAATGAGCATGATAATAGTACCCTTTTGGTGAAGTGATCATCCACTAAAACGACACATCTAGGGTGGATCTGTGAGCAAAGGATTTAAAAAATGGAACTTTAACGAAAAGTTCTCGGTATTGTTCACTTTAACGAAAAACCATATTTTTACACTAAAAAGTCAATCATGTACTATTCACTTTACCCTTTATTTTGTAGTTATCGTTAAAACTCAAAGTTTTCAAGCCCTTTTCATTAGTTTTCTTTTTAAAAAAACGATGACGGGCAGAGCAATGACGCATTACCTTGTTGTGTTCTGCAACAAGCCATGATTCAAATGCTGAAAATAGAAGTGATGTGGCAATGCCTCCCAAAATACGCCCCAACATCAAAACCTTGTACTGAGGAGAATGCTTGGTGATGCAGCTCAGTATGTAAGTTATACAATAAGTGATGCACGCCCTCTTTCGGCCCCTGAATTCACGACAACATCAGCTAAAAATCATCGAACAATCATGGAACCATTTAACAGATATTAGAGCGAAAACTCACTGTTTGTCTGCCAGAGATCCAACAATTGTTCCAAACAACATGGAGGAGCCAAAACCAGCAATGAAAAGCTGTCCGATGTCGCCTTTTCCGTATCCATAAGTAGTGTACAGGTAGTAGACATAAGGACCCTGCAACCAGTCCCCAGCTATTGCCATATAACCATTAATTTGTCAGTAATTTAAACCAATTCTTCCTTCAATTAGATAAGTTCCTATATAATTAACTAAATCCACTCAAATTACAACCAAGTGCAGCTCAGATCCAACTTCCTATTCATCAATTCAGGAGAAATCAAATGGAAATAGCTAAAATTAAAGCAATGCCAGCACCATTTTTCAATCAGAAAAACGATGAACAAATCCCAAAATTCTTATAAAAACCATGAACAAGTCAATCAAAACTATCAGAAAACAGATTGAACACGCAGATCTCGCAAATGGGTGCTTAAATTTCCACTTAGAAACTCCATACAACTCACTAATCGCATCAGATCGGATCAAAATTCACCAAACCAAGGCACATACATTTGAAAACGAACATATACGCATTGAGAGAAATGATAATTTGGGTGAGATCTAGTGGGCTTACCCATCATGAGAGAGTAAACGAAAAGGTAATTGTTCTTGAAGACGTTGAAAGTTGACGGGGTGTTGATTCGGTCTTTGTTGCTCTTGCTGAGCTCCGCCGCGGCCACCACCGCCGCTAGTATCCCGAACACCATGTAGTAGAAAACCTCCATTGTTACTCACTGCACTCTAGAGAGAGAAAGGGAGAGCAGAGAGAGAGAGGAAAGGAATGAGATTTTAAGGTACGTGAGGAGAGATATGGATTGTGTTAATATAGCCAAAGGAAGAAGACGGTGGAGCTCTGATCCTCTGCATCCGTCTTCTGTTTCTATAATCTGTAACTATGCATCGCACGGCTGTACGTTTACTGAACTGTTATGGCTTTGGAAACAGATGGGGAGAAGAGTGCGAGTGCAGGACAATCCTGAGGATGAAGCAGCAGGAGAAACGCACTGCACGCGGTATTGTAATTTAAGATGTTCCACTTGGAGTGAAGTGACACGTGGTGATATCAGATTCATGATGTAGAGTTTGTTGGTGTCGGTGGTTTGTTTTGAGGAAGGATCCTCGCGGGATCCCTTTGTATGAGGATTCCGGAACTTTAAATCACATCCGTTCATCATGTATCGTGTGATCAGAAATTATTGTAAATTTTTTTATTTAAAATTAAATATAAACCGTACTTGACGAAAACTGACTGCACGATGTACGATGAACAGATGTGATTGGAGGATTCCCGAGATATTCACAAAGAGGATCTGGCGAGGTCTTAGATTCGATTCTCACCAAAAAAGAATTTGAACCACATTATTGCTAGCCTATTGTGAAGCTTAATCGACTCACTCCCCACCCCCTTAGTCTAAATAATATCATTTCTTATTACTAATTCATAAACCATATTATTGTTAACCTATTGTGAGGCTTAATTAACTCACTCCCCACCCTCCAGTCTAAATAATTTCAAGGATGAAAATAAATAAATTGAGGTGTTATCACTAAACTTGTATAACATCTCATGTAAAATTAATAAGAAATGGGATTCCTCCAACTTAATAGCATCTTCGATTACTCTGCATCACGTACTCACATGCAAATCAATAATGCATCCCTTTCAATCAGTTTTCGGCTGTACTTTATATAAAGGGTTTGTTCTCAAGCCCTTTGGTCGATGTGGGACAGAGGAATTCCAAGACTCCCCAACAAGTGAGACTCCATTTTTATGGGTCACACGTGAAGTTCTACACATCGACCAGCCACGTGGAGCCAAGCTGGGGCTCATCCATTTGCGCCAGCCTAGTGGCACGTGGCATCTTTTGGCCTACGTGGAGCCATGTCGGGGCTGACCCATTCACACGGAGTCAAAGGGGACTCATCCGTTCACGTGACAGTACGAACCTATCCCCTGGCTTTGATACCATCTTAAATTTCAAGTAAACGGGTCATGGGCCCACTCCAACAACACCGATATTGTTCCCACTTGGGCACCTGCTCAATCCGTCAGGTGTGAGATTTTATCACAACAGGCCTTGGTTTTAGTTAGAATGAGGTAATTCTATATAAAAGGCTTGTTCTCAATCTCTCTGGCTGATATGGGACAGAGGAATTCTAGCACATGCCATGTACGAGCAGTATGGATATTTACATGTGGTCCAATATTCTAGCCAATAAAGTATTGAATTTCTATCCATGCGTCTCATATTTGAAACTCCTCCTCTGTAATAATTTCGAGCCTTTTCCGTCCACTTAATAATTTTAAAATTTTAAAAAATGGTATTGATATGACAAAGAACAAGAATAAAGGTCGATAGGAGGCAGGTTCGAAGGAGATCATCTGGTGCTAAGCCACCGGGTGGTGATTTAGGAGCATTGATTTTTACGAAAATTAATGAAAATAGTTTGAAAATTTTAAGTTTTAACGATAAGGACAAAATAAAAAGTAAAGTACCAGGATTAACTTTTTAATATAAAAATATGATTTTTCGTTAAAATTTCATTGATTTTTTGGGTGTGGGTTATATCATTAGGCACGGTCCTACATCATGACAAAAGGGGAGGAGGTGAGGATGAAAGAAATTGAAACAGCAACAAACCCTCATAAATATCAAATATCCACCACAAACTCAGATTCTGGGAAGAGAAGGAGATAAAATCCCAATATATCATTATCCATGCCCTACGTCACTCAACAAATAAGCACTCAAAACATCCCAAAACACACCATTTCCATTTGTTTTGAATTATTGAATTATTGATCCAGATTATTTAGATCATATAGCTGCTGATTTCTTGGGGTTTTGGAGGCCATAAATATATTTGGAATTAATGGCTTCTCTGACTTCGATCACACTGAACCCATCTTATTCTTCCCCGTTGGGATCATTCGCTTCAAATCATTGCCAGCATAACCAGAATTCCTGCTGGCTTACAGCCGTCGGATCAGTCAGATCATCATCATCATCCACAAGGCAACGGTTTTCGTCGCAGGGCCTCAGAATCCGTAGTGCAGCAACAAAACAAGCTAAAACGCCAGGTACAACTTTAAAACCTGTATTTACGTATAACAGACTAGTTTAGAATATCGCTTTGTCGAAAAGAAAAAAAAACGATTATAATTGAAGTCAAATTAATCCAGCCTCACTTGGTTTCTTGATTCCCTTGTTTTGGAGAGGTTAGCTGAAGAGGACTGGAAGACTAAGAGGGAACTTCTCCTACAGAAAAAGGTACGTACACTTGTTCTCCTCTGAAACGGATAAGAGTTCAATCAAAGAACGCAACACGTGAATAATCCGCTCTGATACCATGTTAGAATGTTCGCATTGAACCATCACCGATGCCGAAAATTTGAAAAAAATGTGCAGGTGAGGAGTGTGGATGTGAAAGAAGCTCTGAGGCTTCAAAAAGAAAACAACTTCGTGATTCTTGACGTGCGGCCTGAAGCGGAATTCAAAGAGGTTCGGTTAAGTTTTCTTCGTCGTGATTGCATTTGTCACCCTTACCGGCGTCATGCCAATCTCTGCAGGAAGTTTGAGCAGGCTAACTAAGTACCGGAATATGAATGTTTGCGGTGAATGCAGGCTCATCCGCCGGGCGCGATTAACGTGCAAATATACAGGCTTATAAAGGAGTGGACAGCGTGGGACATTGCCCGCCGTGCTGCTTTCGCGTTTTTCGGCATCTTTGCCGGCACAGAAGAGAACCCTGACTTCATATCAAGTATGTATAAGCTAGCTTTGTCTATAGACAACTTTTACAGATGCAGAAACACCAAATAATAATAATGTTGTGGTATATGGTAACAGGTGTGGGATCGCAGCTAGATAAGAAGGCAAAGATAATAGTGGCTTGCGCCGCCGGCGGTACGATGAGACCGACCCAAAATCTCCCAGAAGGTCAACAGTCAAGGTGATTCAGTTTAGTTTCTTCTTCCTTGAGATTTCAATTCGTTGCAGAGTTGATCACGTTGATCACTCACGCCAGTCTCCTTGCAGATCACTGATAGCAGCCTACTTGCTCGTCCTCAACGGTTATACGAATGTCTTCCACCTAGAAGGCGGACTTTACGCGTGGTTCAAAGAGGGGCTGCCATCGGTTGCAGAAGAAGAAGAAGAGTGAAACACCGGTGGCGGTATGAAAGAAAGTTCCTTCAAGGGAGCGTGTTTTGTTCATAAATTGAGTGTGTACGTGCTTGCCATTGATTTCTTAGCATAACTAACAACTTATGAATTCGGATTCAAATGGAATGTTCTTGTAATGATGCTAAACATAACAACGACCGGATAATTTCCGCCCGTAATGTCTTCATCATTTCTCTTTTTCGATCAATTGAACTGCAGAATTCCGTCAACGATATAACAACAGAAAGCAGGCATAAAGTTCAAACTTACTTTCTCCAATGGTAATTCACAAAGTAAATTGGAGAAACTTCACAAAGTTGAGATACAGGATGATTGTTACATGATGTATCATCACAGCAACCGGAGATCTTGTCCTTTCCACCGCGCCCGTGTACATGCGACAACCCCGTATCAAAGTTGCAACTCAGCTAGAATAGCAAGTCATTGAAGCACAATAAGGTCGAAATTTTTTAAGCTTTACAAGGTGCCACGAGAAATTTTATCTTCTATTCCACATTAAATGGATCAAATTGAGATGGCGTGCGAGATGAGTGATCATGACGTCTCTTCAAGCCTGTATATAGTGATTTCTTGCTGCTTGAAATACCGTCGGTCCTCTTCATCAACCAGAACAAGATTCAAATAATACTTCACGCTGAATTTGTTATTGATGTTGCGATGTGTTGGTGTGAGTTCATAAGGGCTAAGAAACAATCTAATGGGAATTGATTCACCTGAAAAAGGCAAGCATATGAATGTAAACCATTCATCTATGGACAGTTGAAGAATTGCAGCAAGCTTAGACGTTAATCATATATAAGAAAGCGGAAGAGTTAAAGAACATACCTCTTACTGGAGCACCATCCATCAACTCAAACTTAGCAAGTGTCTCGGTCTCAACATGAGTATTGGGCCCCGACCCTGTTGACTCTCGACGCCTGATCTCCAGATCCATATTCTTTATTTTGATTCTTACAAGAAGGAAATATATCTTGCCGATAATAACATCTTTCAGATGGTACCTGTATATCAAGTATCAACACAAATAATTAACGCCAAATTGTTCTCTTTTGTTTTAACTTTCTCAACATAACATAGTTCTGATTTATTACATCCTAGGCACAAAGTTCTCTTTGTACAAACCCGCTCTATACCAGTGAGCTCAGGCTATGGTTATGAAGCAATGAAACTTAGCATTTGAAAAAAAGCCATTTGTTTCCAGATTTCATCTCATGCATGTAAACCACTAACAATACACACACAACCCTGGTCATGAAATATATTTCAACTTACTTGCTCTTGTTGTACTCAAACTCAATGTGCAGACAATCCTCGATTCCCACTTCCATCTGCAAAGGGAACAAAACTATAAGAAAGATCCATTGAGGGAGGACTAACAATGGGCTGGTTGTTGCATCACACTAGAGAGATGCAACATAAGATGGAATTAAGCTAATGGATGAACAGAAACTTTTTTTTGTTGCAGTACAGATTTGGTACTCACCTTGATGCTATTGTTAATAGATGGAGGTGGGGAAAAGTTGCGAACCTGAAGCACAGAACGACATCAATATAAACTGTGAGAATGCTACATGACTAATGATTGTGAATGGTACTGATGATCACTTATATGTGAAACCCTGTGAGTAGTAATTTGTGAGCAGGTTTTGAAAGCATAGACAATAGAAGGCGAGGAGCACAATGAACAATATTGCTAAAAAATCCTGATTTCCAAGAAAACGAGAGAAAAGAGAGAGATTACCACAAAATCCTGGTATTCCACTATGCTACTACCATAACCACGACTAATTGTGACTTTCAGAACATACCTAGGAAGAGCAAATTTACAGTATGTCAGCATGAATTATGAACATGATGTTCACGCAAAATCTAAAAGCTGCCAATAGATATTTACTTCAATTAACAAAAAAATAATGAAAATACAAGTAACAATGAACATTTAAGACTTACCTAAGTCTCACATTCACCCCGTTGTAAGTCTCATATGGCATCTCAACTGTAGAAAACTCAAAAGGATATGTTTTCCTTTCATATATATCTCCAGGAACATCAAGTTCACGAACTGTTAACAAGAGCAACAAGTTTAAAGACAATTAAAAGGAACACATTACCTTTTTTTCTTTCTTCAGTAAAATGATAAATAGACAGACTATGATGATGATGGATAAAATATGAAAATTTGGAACATCATAATGATTAATCCCTATCTTTCTTTATTTCTAATGTAAAGGGTTGGCAGTTATAAACAAGGAATCAAAATCAGTAGTTTGAAAACTGAGTAGAAACTGTACAAAGCTAATGAAATGAAGTGAGAGCATACTCACCAAGGGAAGTAAAGTCATAAAAGTTGCCTCTGTCAAAGTACATCTCTGCAACATAAATAAAGTCTATAAGAGTGCTCGGGTAAGAAATAAAAATCCTAAGAAATGCTATATTTTCACATTAAATCTCCATCAGTCCACATCATACAAATATAACACAGGAAACTAGCAAGTAGCAACAAAATTAAAATAACAAAACAATACCGATTTGACCGAGGAGCTCAACTTTAACTCCATTGTGTTCGACCTTCTTCCCTTGAATTGGTTCTATATTAATCTGAAATTGACAACAAAGAAAGGAAATATCTCTAAGAGGTGATCTTTATAGTCTAAACTACTCGAAATTGACAACAAAGAAAGGAAATATCTCTAAGAGGTGATCTTTATAGTCTAAACTACTCGAAATCAATTTCCTAAAGATTTAACCTTTGTGTACTATAATGCTTATCATTCAAAACGATGCAATCAAACAATATACCTTCCCAGAAATGTTTTCTTGACTTTGAAAAAGTGGGACCAATACTGCTTGGCCACTTTCCTTCTTTAAGGGGACCTACAGAAACAGACCAGAGATGAGGGAAAAAAGTTAAGCTGATTTTCCAATCTCGTATAGTTTTGATTTGAAATTTGCATTTAATAAAGCCATGGATAAATGATCTGTTGGAAGTAACAAGGAGCACGAGCTATCATCTATAATATGTTCTTTAACGATCCTGAAGGGAAAAATATCTCAACTTATTCATTAAACATGGATTACCTGCTTCCGAGTTTTGGCATCAGAAAATGTGATTGAAATGTTGCAGGATGGTTTGAATGCTCCAATTAAGTAATTCTGCGACAAATCGGAAGTGTACCAAATTAATACCACGAAGAATTCCTCACGATTATAACGAGATTGAACAATGACCCCAGCAACCGTAGCTGTTCGTGAAACCTTACCATGTTGATCGGAATAAAATGCCCAGTTCTTAATAGCTCACTCAAGAGACCTGAAAAATTCAATGTGGAAAATTCATGTCTCAATACACATTATAAAGCATTCCCTCTCGCTAATCGTGTATAATTTACCAAATACCGAAAGTTTACCTCAATACCCTAAAAATTCACCTAGAATAAGTTTTAAAACTAATAGTAGTCACTTAAGATACACATAGCTTGCACTTACAAACGTGCAAAATTTATCTGTTTATGCCCAAAAAACATTGTTCTAAGCTCGTTAACCACAATTTACCTACTTAATCCCACAATTTAAAATGCTAGAAACCCAATGCACGAATCGTAACCAAAAAACGGCTAAAATGCACAACCATCCCCCATTTCCAAGCTCAAAATTTGTGCCCTAATTCTCACAGATAAAAATGATTTCCCAATTCAACTGCATGGATACCTAATCGGCTCTAAATAGGCATAAAATGGGGAACAATTGAGCAAATTCAATCGATGATCAGCTTCAATCAGAGAAAAGTTGCAAATTTACAGGAAAGATTTTGAATACGGAGTCGGAGATTTATGAATTTCACGTACCTTATGACGACGTAGTGAGAGATCGGCGAGCGCTGCGAATTGGGAATTTAGGGCTGACGGAGAAGAAGAGCGAAACTACTCCTTGATCGACAGTTGGGAACAAGACTCAAAAGTGTATTGTTTCCTTCTTCAAGCCGTCCTCGTTCTCACGTGCGACCACGTGACCGAAACTTCGATTTTCCTTTTTTTTTTCTTTTTTTTTTTTAAACTTTTTTGTTTGGAGGCAAGGCTTGAAATATTTTGATTTTCTTTATGAAGCTGAACCAAACTAATGGGATGTACTTACTTACAGATCCACGTATGGAGTTTTCTTCGAACCTTCTGGATCAAATAATTTTAAACTGTTTACATAAATTGCGCAACTCAAAGTAAATTTCTCACCCACACAATCGTGTTGTTCCTTACCCTTCCCATTACGGATGGGTTCAAAAAATTGTAAACCGAACCGAACGAAAAAATCGAACCGAATTGAAAAAGAAACCAAACCGAATTATTTTGGTTCGATTTCAATTTCAATGGTCTAGAAACCGAACCGAATCGAATTAATTAAATTAATATTTTTTTTTTAAATTTAATTATCTGTTTTGGATATTATTTTCTAAACCCAATTTGTAATGACACACCCCAACCCAGAATATCCACTAGGACTCCGAATCGAGTTGCGCTGGTCGACACCTAGAAAGTGACGATGCCATAAAGTGTGATGATGTGGAAAAATATGAATAAATTTAAACCTAAGAGTGCATAAATACCAGAGTGCGTTGGTGAGCGGGAATGAACCCATTTCACACGTGACGTTAGAGCATAAGTCAGTACAGTATAGTGAATTAAAAATCATACCCTCGAAAGAATCTCCAATACTAAGAATCGCCACGAATCTTCGGCGATAAGAAAACTCAGCTAATAAAACCTGGAAGGTGAAAACAAAACAAGGGTGAGTGGCCTTATAAATAAAATTTTAATAGAAACCATATAAAACATTATAACCCATCGCTGCAATACCTGTATAGTTTCCAGAAAAATCATACCACGTTTCAATGTGAAATCAAAAGTATATCAACAGTAAATCCATAAATATACCACATCACAACATCTCATCAGCAATATCAATAATCATGTGATTAATAACCTATATCTCATCAATCAACGCTAACACATAAGTCGGAGTCACCTATAGTGACATATACGATAAAATACATAATTTACATAAAATGCATCCCTACGTAATTCAATTCGAAAGATCTGCATCACGGATTTCCAATCTGTTGCTTCCAAAGATCCACATTATACTTCTAGAACAACATCCTAAGGTTTCATTATGATCCAACGGTCGGATCTCCACCAATTGCCAAAACCAAATGGCAGTCAACATTTTAATTTATAAACTTACAAATCCAATTCGGGAAATCCGTACGTCGGATTTCTTATTCGTAAGTTTATATGGTCCTCAAATATTATGTCCTACAACATATTAAAGTTTGGTGACAATCCAACAGTCGGATCGTCGATTCATATCTTTACCAAGTAACGTATCCTAATGAGTTTAGGTCCAAATGATCAACCTACGATATATAATTGCCAAAACTGAACTCAAGACATCAAATTTAGCCTAAGGATAACATCGACGATCCCCTGGCCACGCGCCGCCGTGGGTGGCAGTTGGCCGCCCCGATTTGCTGGAAAATTCAACTATTTTTTTTAAATTACCAAAATTTACAGGAATGAAGATCTCAATGAGTATAGTAACTTTCATACCTATGGCCAAGCCGAATTTGACCGGAAATGCTCCAATTTCGCTAAAACCCGTCAAAAAACCCTATAATGGGTGTTCGTCAATTCATCCTCAAATCAACTCCGACGCTCCAACAAATGCTTGGGACTTGTTCCCATGTCCAAGAGGAGTTGTTTGATAGTGTGGATCGAGGGTAAACATTTCAAAAAATGGTGGATTTCTAACTAAGGGTCTTTGGCCCCGAGGGTTGTTCTTTGTGGAAATCAAGATGAAACTTCGTTGATTAAAGCTATAATTGGATGCTGGGATACTATGGTGATGTTTAGGAGTTGTGGGAGGTCTCAATTCGCTGGAAATTGATGGAAAGGCGACGAGAACCCTCTCACGATCCTACGTAGGGGATCTATGATCCCATGCCCCACTTCTCTCTCCCTTCCCCTCCTTTCTTCTTCTTCTGATTGGTCTCTCCCTTTTTCTCTTCCCTTCCTCTCCTACTAGTCCGTCCCTCTCTTCTTTGATTTGGGCAGCCAATACTCCTTCTTTTTTTTTCCTTGTCCCCCCGTTTCTTCTTCCCCATTCTCTCCTTTATTACCAAAGATAATCTTAAAATAATATAATAGAACTTATGAAAATATATAAAATAATAATTGGTTATATCATTACTCCAAAACCGCTTCTGCTTGCGCTTACGCGCCCATATTGTCGAGTATTTCAGGAATACGCTAACGGAATATTTCATATGTCTCACTATATGTTGGTCAACGAAAGCCAAAAACCTTCATCTTTAGGGCATTTCTGTAAATTCACACTTTTAAAATTCATAAAATAGTAAAATTAGGGACTTGCTGTCACTTGTAAGCCTACATGTGCTAAAGCTCAATGTGTTGCCAAACTTTAAGCAAAAAATATTTTTAAAAAAGCCATTAGAAACTCTAAACCCTAACATATTATTTTTTCCCCTTCTTTTCTTTCACCCTAGTTGGAAAGCTTATGTTATGATTGTGTTGGAGATGTTAAAATTTTAGATTTCAATGAACCGAAATCGAAACCGAACCGATTTGAACCGAACCCAGCCCTACTTGTCACATCCCAGCATAGGCCCCCACCACATCCCGAGCTCGACTCTGACGTAGCACGATATTGTCCGTTTTGGGCCCCGACCACGCCCTCATGGTTTTGTTTTTTGGAATTCACACGAGAACTTCCCTGTGTGTCACCCATCATGGGATTGCTCTCACGCGAACTCGCTTAACTTCGGAGTTTCGATGAAACTTGAAGTTAGTGAGCTCTCAAAATGCCTCATCCTAGGTATAGATAGGAATATACATATAAGGCTTACATGATCCATTCCCCTAGGCGATGTGGGATGTTACAATCCACCCCTCTTAGGGCCCGATGTCCTAGTCGGCACATTTCCGACTAGGGATTGGCTCTGATACCAAATTGTCACATCTTGGCCCAGGCCCCCACCACATCCTGGGCTCGACTCTGTCGTAGCACGATATTGTCCACTTTGGGTCCCGACCATGCTCTCACGGTTTTGTTTATGGGAACTCACACGAGAACTTCCTGGTGGGTCATCCATCATGAGATTGCTCTCGTGCGAACTCGCTTAACTTCGTAGTTCCAATGGAACCCGAAGCCAGTGAGCTCCCAAAAGGCCTCGTGCTAAGTAGATATGAGAATATACATGTAAGACTTACATGATCAATTCTCCTGAAATATGTGGAATGTTACACACTTCCCATCTCTCTCGTCTTAGAAAGCCTCCATGAAATATTTGCTTTCCCAATATATTGAGAACTCTAAATTTGCTTAGAAGAAAAAAGATTGATGAGCAGAGGCCTGAAGCTTCATGTCTTGTCGATTACTTCAATATAATAACATATAAATGTAACGGAAAAGAAATCAAAGGCTTCGTGGTCTGTTTTAACTTTCGGATAAGTTTTCATTTGATTAAAAAAATCTTACAGTTTGTGGAAACTTTCAAATTGCTTGGAAGATAGCCGATTACAAATAAAAAACTCGTCTTATTATCAGTTACATACAATTTATGTTTATCTCTTTCGTCGCATGATTAGTTCCGTAACAAAAACTCTGAATATACAACTACCAAACTTTAGCATTCACCCTTAAGGAAAACCTCACTTAACAAAAGACATAAATCCGATTTGTCAAAATAGTAAGGCGCATTAAAATTAAGGGTCATTGTCCATAAAACGGGTCAACAACACGAGCTTAACCAAGTCAAATCGAAATTTTCACGTAGATTTCCTCATTGTCCAAAAAGTTATTAAATTTAAGCTTTGAATTAAGAAAACAATATTATAGTTAAAAAAAAAATTGAATTCATCGTCCTAATGTTATTTTACAAGAATAATATTTGACTACTTAAAGAATGAGTTGAGGTTCTTACTCAAAATTGTTTGTTGTCAATTCATAAAAATTCGTATTTATAATGAAAGCGCTCATAGTATAAATCCCTTTACAAAGATCGTTTATGCAAAAATCAATAAAAATTAAAGTCGTTTAGTCATTAAATTGTATAAAAATAGATCAATAAAATTAGTAAAAGCATTATGAATCGTCAATTTATTGGATAGAATAGATTGACTATAAAGAGACTTAGTTTTAATTCATTTTACAGGAATAACCTTTATAATGTGATTTATAATATAAACGGCAATAAACACAAAATTCTGTGATTCAAACACGATGAATTTTGAGAGTTCTTCGTTCATTTTACAATGGGACTAAATAATTGAATTTCAAAAAATATATAAACACTATGAAATTACAAATTCACCCTTTCATGCCATGAAATTACAAATTCACCGAACTCGAATCCAGCGGCGGCTCTTCCTTCCTCCGACTCCCCATTCTCAAAAGACCGTACAATTTCCTGAACTCCCTCACCGTGTGAACACTTTCCCGGCAAAAAACGGCGCTGGGTTCGCCCGACTCGTCGACGGACCGACCCGACGAACTATTGGACAACGTTTGCCCCACTTTGTTCGCTCCCTTCATACTATCCACATTCGTCTGCAACGCCGAGATAACCGACTTCAAAGCCCGACTCGGCGAGCTCCGATTCGAAATCATAATCTCGCCTATCTCCGCCGGGCTAAGACTCGCTCCGCTGTGGAAAATCTCCTCCACCTGCGGGAACAGCTTGTGTTCCTTGAGCCCGAGGTAAGTGCTGGCCAAGCTCTTGAAAGCGAAAAAATCGCAGAGTGGAAAATGGATGTGGACATCAACCCGACCCGGCCTCAAAACCAACTGGTCCACCTGATCCTTACCGTTCATCGTGAAAACCAAGACGCGCTCCTCACCGCACGATGACACTATCCCGTCCATAAAATTCAACAGCCCGGACAAGCTCACAGCCGTGGATTTCTCCGTCAAGAAACGGTCCAGATCCTCCACCACGATCAGCGACTTCGGCGTCGTTTGGAGGAGAAGCATTTTCAAATCGGAGTCGTCGGTGACCTTGGACATGTCGACGTCGTACACGTCGTAGCTCAAGAACCTCGCCATGGCGGCGACGAAGCTGGTTTTTCCGGTGCCGGAGGGGCCGTAGAGCAAAAAGCTCCGCTTCCAAACTCGGCCTAGTCGGTGATAATACTGCTTCGATTTCGAGAAATTCTCAAGATCGGACCGGACTTTATTCTTCAGCTCGGCGTCCATCACGACGGTGTCGAAGGTGGCGGGGTGCGTGAACGGTACCGATCGCCACCGTTCGTTTTCACGGGAGAGGTTCATGTAGAGCTTGATATCTCTGTTCCGCTGCTCGATTTCATCGGCGACGGTAAGAATGTGCTGGAAGTACTGGCGGAACACGCGGCGCTTGTCGGACCGGTTGATTTTCAAAACGAAGGACCGGATTCCGTCGGACTGGGATTTCTGAATAGTCCAAGAGAGCTTGGCGCTGAGGAAGGTGTCGTGGACGGCGGAGTTGTTTGCGTCGTGCCGGAAGACGATGTCGTTGGATTTGGCGCCGGTGAAGAGGTTGGTGAAGTCAGAATCCTCGATGGAAGGGAGGGAGTCGAGGTAGACGGAGATTTTGCCGTAGAGCTGGTTCTCTTGGAAGTGCTCGTTGAACTGCGGGATTTTGTAAAACTGGTAGACTCTGAACCGGTCCGCCAAGGATTCCCATAATTTTGTTAATTTGTGAACCAGAGATGTTTTGGACATGAACCGGAGAACCAGAACCAAAGAAACAGCAAAGAGCAAGAAATAGAAAAATGCCATGAATCCGCCCATGATAAACGAACAATTAACCCGAAACCGAGCTAGCTAGCCCACCACGGTAAGGATTGTAGCACCCGACGTGCTAGCGGTACTTGTTGAAGAATTTTCGATGCTTAAGTTAGTTACGTATAGAGTAATTAAACAAATTGACGGAGATTCTAGCTTAGATTTTGCGTTGCTAAAAACGCAATGACTTTGTGGACGAAGGTGGATGGTATGTTACTAACTAAAGAGCCTCCGATGCTCAAATCAGCTGAATTCAAGGCTAAATTTGGGGTCGCTAAAATTTGTTCCTCGTGATATTGGGTTGAACATGATTTGATGAAATCAAAGAGAGATAGAGGAGTGGAGGTGATGGGTGGAGATTGAGAATAATGTTTGGAGGAGGAATTTAATGGGTTTGGGTTGGGGGAATAATGTATGGAGATGGCTTGAGCCGGCAAATTAATGTTGGGTGAGTTGGGTCAATAAAAAGAGCAACAATGGGCGTGTACGTAAGAGAGAGTAGGGGAAGAAATTTGGATTGTATTGTTCTTCTTTGGCTGTGAAACGATGACCAACGACTAGGAAAGGGATCCTCTCCGGATTCTTTTCATCAAGTTCATCCATTCGAATTATTAAAATTTGATCTAACGGCTACAAGCAAGAAGCCTCTTTAAAAATTATAATAACTTTAACTGTTGAATTAAATTTCAATGATTCGAATAAGTGAACTTAGTGTACTTAGTCCCAATGACTAAGGGGCTCATTCTTTCTAATATTTTATTTAATTATTTCAGAAGACTATTCACATGTGCCCCCATTTTATTCAATTCCATTAAATTGACCAAACCCAACCAATTTATTGGCCCTTGATTTTTGACAAACGGCGCTGGATTTTAATGGAATCTTTTTGTTCTTTTTAAAATTGATTGAAAGCAGTTTTTCACAAGTTTTTTTTTGTCTGAAAGAATAAATTGTTTTTTTTTTTTTTTCAGAATTCACTTATTATTTTACTAAAGATTCATTCCTATCAAAATACTTTCAGCCATTTTAAAAATATTTCTAGACGAGGTCTTAGTTTTTTTTATTTTTCACTTCCATACCATTTCACAATTTTTTCTATTACACCCTTACACTGAGAACAATTTTAAAATATGTGATCATTTTTAATTGATTTGAAATAATGTTACAATGACGTGAATTAAGTATTGGGCTCGGGTGGTGTTGCTAATGACCTTAGAAATGGTCAAGACTCAAGACATATTTAAAACACATGACAATGCATTGTCATGCTGACAAATCTACAAGATTATGCTCACGGGTCGTGCATTAGGTATAGATAGTGACGAAATATATTGAACTAATCCGCTCAATTAGTGCTACTAACACCGCAAATCATAATCAAGGCATAATTAAAACACATAATATACGTAATTAACTTGAAATACTGCAACACTATGTATTCTCTCCGGTCGCGGATTAGGACTAGTAACCGGGGGGAATAGAATAGTCAGAGCGAGCAGGCACACAGTGAGATGCTGTGGAGCCTTTTGATGAATCTGCTCGTTATAGTCGTGACTTTATATACATGAAAAAGGAAACCATCGGAAAAGAAAACACACACATTATTGCAAGCTTGATTAGTGTATGTATGACTTTACTTGAACCAGCTGCTGCATGCTGATGTAAAACTGACCTTTCATGGCTTTCTTTTTCGTAGGGCGACTTGCGTGAAAAGTGTATTCACCGTTACTGTAGTGTTTCAGTTTAATAATGTGCTGTTATGTATAGGAAAACTTATGTCATTATTGGACGGGCTTCCGTAATGACAGGGAAGTTGTTCCATGTAAATACTTCTTCCTCTCGCGTGTGAATAATATTTGGCTACTCAAAGAATGAGTAGAAGTTCCTACTCAAAGTTGTTTGTTGCTGTTTCACAGAACTTCGTGTTTATGATCAAAACCGTTTACATATAAATCACTCTACAAAGATCGTCTCTACAAAAAATCGTTTAGCCATAGAACTATATAAACACAGATGAATAAATTTAGTAAAAACATTACAAACCGTCTATGTATTTGCTACAATAGATTGACTAGATGACCTTCATTTTTTGCAGAGCTGATATTTATAGAGTAATTTATAATACGAACTGTTCTAATTATAAACACAATACACTATAATTCGAACATAAAAATTTTAAATAAAAATTCTTTCTCAATCTTGAGTAGCCGAACATCGTTCCTCGTGAGCTATGTTTTCTATGTCCCACAGAGAGCACGTAGTCAAAGAATGTGGTTTTGCTCACCAACTGCGACCTGTTAATTATTGTTTAATCTTCATTTATCTAGCTTCAAACAGGATATTCATTTTCAACATGTAATGTTAATTAATAAATTAGTTGTCAAACATATGGTGCTTGCTTAGTTGCTTACGTGAGGGAAGGGAAATAACTAATGCAATTATGCAATGGGTTTATTTATTTAATTATTAGATTACACTACTAATTATATCGAAATTGTCTCAACTTAACCACATGCACAACACACTAGATGCTGAGTTTTTATCAAAATGCATCGGTACAATTTGAGCGAAACAATTCAATACAAGCTGTCATATATTCTGTCAATTATTTGACGTGAGATTATATTCGTCGACAAACTGTATATAAGTAATATATTATGTCAAACCTGACGTAAGATTGCGTTCTTTAACAAATTGTGTCGTACAATAATTAGGAGAGCCAAAACCACGAACTAATGTCATATGTTTGTCATGGTTGTTTTGTGGACACTAATGTACTAAACTAGTATCACAAAATTATTGGAATCCAAAGGAAATTAACAAATTATTGATTCGAACGTCTCACTTTGCCGACATTTGTGGCTCGTTTCGTAGGGGGTTTTCCTTAGATATCCTTTAGTCAATTTCCTTGTAATAAATTTTCACCATTTATTACGGACACAACACTATAAATACGTTAAAGTGCTTCTAATAAAATTACGTTGTGTTTTTAGAAGACGTTTTGACGAACCACATTTACTTCTAAATTATTCCGTCACATATAAACAGAAGCGCTTTTAATTGTCAAAAACGACTAAAACTGCCTTCTTCCTTTATTATACCACCTTATCAAGCTGTTGCAGCTTTCTAGCGCAAAATTTGTGGTCCTTGGATTTAGAGTAAAAGCATGAGAGGGACTCTAAGGGTGCGTTTGGTACGCAGACGGGACGGGACGGGACGGGACGGAACGGGACGGGACGGGACGGAACGAAGGTGTAATTTTTGAAAAAGACATGGGGTATATTTGTCTTAAAATGGTAAAACATTGTGTTCCACATACGTGGAACAAACCCGTTCCAGGGGGGAGGTGGAACGCAAAAACACTCAAAATCTGTCCCGTGGAACAGCTCGTTCCACCCATTTTTAGCGCACCAAACGCGGGACGGAACGCTTCGTCCCGTTCCGTCCCGTCCCGTCCCGTCCCGTCCCGTCCCGTCCCGCATACCAAACGCACCCTAAGGAACGCGTACAAACTTTAAAGAGGTAATGATTCGCCCTTATATGAAACCAACTGCCCTACTTCCAGCTATGTCCTAGGTGATGGTCTTAATCATTCTGGTAGCTCATGCAACTTGCTCACCATGTGAGAAATACATTGTTAATCGCCACACGGGGCCACTAACACAAGTTGAGTAGTATATCTCTTCATCTGTAAGTTAAATCCCTCCCCTTTAGTATATCATTGCTGTAAGTATAGTTGCCCTCTCGTTAACTTGATAGCGGATAGGGTGCCCTACTAGTCCGAGTAACTTGATGCTCAAGTGACCTCACACATCGAATGATGGTGCACAAAGTAGTATATCGTTGCTTTGTTTATGGATCCCATGAGCATGAATTGTCAGGATCCACCGAGCACACGACTAAAACTAGCATTTCCCTACGAGAGTTGGTTTAACGTTGAAAGTACCCTTGCTGAACAGTTGAGCACATATAGCTTGAGAGAAGTTGGAACAAGAGCAAACCAAAATTTGGAAGGCAAATGTTAAATGTCAAACAAAACCACCCACTATAAACAACGTTTACAGAGTCGGAAAGGTTTATAACAAGCCAATGGTTTGATCCCGAACGTCGATACAAAACAGCTCCTTCATATCCAATAATCTATAAAACAGCTCCTCCATATCCAATAACCTGTGGAGACTTGTGGCTGGAGTGGAGGTTGGGATTTCAAGGGTCCTGTGCATCGGGTTGAATATTCAAGATTTTGGAAACCACGTTTTTCGTGAGCTCAGTAATTGCAGCTTGAACTGTATAATCACCAGTCTCGCTGTTCCTCGATCACCTTGGTAATGATTGTGATGAGAACAACCCAGTATAGTCATTTGCAGCAACCTTTGTATGTTTGGAAGTCGCGAGAACATTCTCCAAATCTAACTGGGTTAACGGCCTTGGTGCCTGAAGAAAGCAGCACAGACCAACACTCTCAGTACAAACAAAACCTGCAAGCCTATTAACTAGAGCTGAAACTGCAAAGATAAACAATGAAAATGCCACATTTACTCACAGAAGATTTCTTTCCGGTCTTTTCTTCATTTAGTAGGTCTCTGATAGGAAAATATGCTGCTTTTTTGCAAAGCTCAAGTAGATCCGAACCTGTGTAACCCTCAGACAAGACGGCTAAACGATCAATCAATATTGTCTTCAATCCTCTCACCCTTCAAAATCACCTTTAGTATCTGAGCCCTCTCCCTTTTATCGGGCATCCCAATCTCAAAGGCTTGAGGAAGGCGCCGAAGTATTGCTTCATCAAGTTCTGACGGACGATTAGTAGCAGTGAGAACCATAACTCGAGCGTTCTCTGCATGAACAACATAAAATATCAAACCAAATGCCTTATCCAAGGAATAATTGTCTAGCATTTCACCGACCACAAATGCTTTCTTTTCCTAAGGAAAAGAAGAAGAAGATTCCTATTTAGAGAGGAGAAAAAAAACTTACGATCTGTAGTAAAGCCATCCCATAAAGCCATGAACTCAGTTTTCATGTTTGTCAATGCCTCGTGATCTGTAGTTCGGCGCTGACCCAAGAAACTATCAACCTCATCAATAAAGATGATAGCAGGCTGGAGTTTATAAGCCAAGCTAAACACAGCAGCAACTACAGAAGACAAATTAACATGCTAAGCAAAGTAGATATGAAAACTACAAAAACTTCAAAATCCTTGTAGGACCCTAGCATAATTGGAACTCTTGAGGTAAAAGCAACAAATATGCATGACCTTTTCCTTGAAAGAAAAATAAGAGTTCACCCTTCTCAATCAACTAGTAAGGTCGTACCCAGTGCACAAGGCTCCTGCTTTACACAGGGTTTGGGAGAGGTGAATGTCGGCTAGCCTTACCCCCATTTATGGAGAGGCTGCTCCCAAGTCTCGAACCCGAGACCTACCGCTCATGAGCGAAGGCACTTGTCATCG